TTGTTTTGGTAATAATAATATAGGGAGGCGAAATAAAACTAGATGTAAAAAGACAAAATTATGTATTAGAAGATGACGAAATAAATGTTTAGTTTGTTTAGGTAATCTATTATATATGAGGCGGAATAAAAGTAATGTAAAAAGATAAAACTATGTATCGGAAGATGACAAAAAAAAATATTTAGTGAAAATGTGTTCGAAAAGAATTTGACTATATTTTAGAAAGATATATGCATAAGACTAACATAACATCTTTTAGATCGCATTCACTATTTGAAATAAATTAGTTTCCATAAAAGACATGACAAATGTTATTGGATCGGGTTATCATGTTTAAAGTCGAGCTAATTCGTTTATGTGAAATAGGATAAGGGCATTCACGATTTTTTGAAACATTATCTTATCGGAATCTTTACTTGATTTTTTGGATAAAGCATCTTCAAACTCATTGTAACATCATTAGTATTTCGTTCATACATTTGAAATAAATGATAGTTTATATTTGACACATTCATATTTAATGTGGGGTTGCATTACTATTGAGTCAATGGTCAACATTAAAATTTTCTGGGAGATGTCCTTATAATACATTAATCTAAAAAGAAATTTTTCCGAGATAAAGAATCATGAGATGGTCACCAAAATCGTTTCGTCTTCCCACAATGTTTCTAATTTATTTTGGTTACCACATGACACTTACCAATTTGTTGCATTTCAAAAAAAAAAAAATTTCACAATATATATGTTATATATCGCTTGATAAAAAAAATATATACAAGTATGTATATAAATCTTTTTGTTTAAAATGATTATATTGATATTCAATCATTTGTATTGTTAATAGTTTAAAATTAAAATTAAAAATTAGGGAGTTCTCTCTCCATCTAAAGTGTCCACATAGACAAAAATATTTTTTAAATTAAGTTTTAAAATGGCCATGTACTACACATTGAATCATATATAATAATACAATACTAAATTAGATTAAAAACGTGAAAGACT